ATAATTACTTGACAGTGTAATATATAACTATAATTACTTGACAGTGTAATATATAACTATAATTACTTGACAGTGTAATATATAACTATAATTACTTGACAGTGTAATATATAACTATAATTACTTGACAGTGTAATAGTAATATATGACTATAATTACTTGACAGAGTAATAGTGATATATAACTATAATCACTTGACAGTGTGATATATAACTATGATTACTTGACAGTGTAATACATTACAGTAGATGAACAGACCAGTTAATCTCTATAGTATTGTTAAAGGAAGAAGAAAATTCCAGTAGCGATGATGAAGCCATCAGTGCCATGATTGATGAACTGCCTGATCCCAATAAAGTTTGGGGCAAAATATCAGAAGATACCATGGATGACAAAAGTAATTCAGATTTGGAGAGTGAAGATGAAAGTAACAGCTCTTCAACTGAGATTATTGAAAGGTACTGTTTTATTTGGTGTTTGAAGATTCTATCTATATTAACAGTACCACTGTGATGAACAATGTAAAATACTCGCTGATGTTTCTGTGGTTTACTTTAAGGTTAGCTCAAAGTGACAGATGTGGCCATAACATATATCAGTGTTATTACAGCACAATAGAGGAATTGTTACTATTCTGATCCTGGTGTGATAATAAACACATTGTACAATATCACAACTCAGCACTGATCTGTGTCATAAGGGTAACTTTAACACTTTCAGTAATATTGAAATAATTTAGTTGTGCTCATTGCAGACAGTTAAATATGTTTAACATTTTTCAAACTTATTAATGAACAAAATATTCTTGATTGACATTCTTCCCTATTGGTTGATGTTGGAAAAGTACAATCAAGAAAAATAATAAAATCCAGTATGTTCCTTTTATCATTCTCCTATGGTCTTTTGTTATCTAAAATAGAATATATTCTAATATTTCTTTACTTAAAACTGATTACTGTTGTATATAATTTTTGGCTCTCAGGTACATTTATTTAGCTCATAATACCCGCATGTGTTGATGAAATGATCATTTTTGAAAACTTTTATAAACTTGAAAATTTTCTGTTTACTTTTCTTGAAAAGCAGAATTTTTGTTCTTGTTGTTATTGTTGACATTTCTCCATCTGGTACCCGATATTTCCTTATTCATTTTTTGGGGTTAGCTTTTCTGTTGTTGAGTTTCTATCAAACATTCTGTTGAAAGTAGTACCACTTGATACTAAAAAATGATCAGACATTGTTGAGTTTCTATCAAACATTCTGTTGGAAGTAGTACCACTTGATACTAAAAAATGATCAGACATTGTTGAGTTTCTATCAAACATTCTGATGGAAGTAGTACCACTGGACACAACAAAATGATCAGACATTGTTGAGTTTCTATCAAACATTCTGATGGAAGTAGTACCACTGGACAGTACAAAATGATCAGACATTGTTGAGTTTCTATCAAACATTCTGATGGAAGTAGTACCACTGGACAGTACAAAATGATCAGACATTGTTGAGTTTCTAAACATTCTGATGGAAGTAGTACCACTGGACACTACAAAATGATCAGACATTGTTGAGTTTCTATCAAACATTCTGATGGAAGTAGTACCAATGGACACTACAAAATGATCAGACATTGTTGAGTTTCTATCAAATATTCTGAGTGTGTGGTATCTATATAATAGTAAGGGACACAGTGTGTGGAATCTATATAATAGTAAGGGACACAGTGTGTGGTATCTATATAATAGTAACGGACACAGTGTATGGTATCTATATAATAGTAACGGACACAGTGTGTGGTATCTATATAATAGTAACGAACACAGTGTGTGGTATCTATATAATAGTAACAGACACAGTGTGTGGTATCTATATAATAGTAATAATAATAGTAATCATAGTTATATATCACTATTACACTGTCAAGTAATCATAGTTATATATTACACTGTCAAGTGATTATAGTTATATATTATGCTGTCAAGTAATTATAGTCATATTACTATTACACTGTCAAGTGATTATAGTTATATATTATGCTGTCAAGTAATTATAGTCATATTACTGTTTATATCTTCACTCATCAGACATCTAATGTCATCTGTTCATCTACAGTAACGTGTTTATATCTTCACTCATCAGACATCTAATGTCATCTGTCCATCTACAGTAACGTGTTTATAACTTCACTCATCAGACATCTAATGTCATCTGTCCATCTACAGTAATGTGTTTATATATCTTCACTCATCAGACATCTAATGTCATCTGTCCATCTACAGTAATGTGTTTGTATCATTACTCATCAGACATCTAATGTCATCTGTCCATCTACAGTAAAGTTTATATCTTCACTCATCAGACATCTAATGTCATCTGTCCATCTACAGTAAAGTTTATATCTTCACTCATCAGACATCTAATGTCATCTGTCCATCTACAGTAAAGTTTATATCTTCACTCATCAGACATCTAATGTTATCTGTCCATCTACAGTAATGTGTTTATATCTTCACTCATCAGACATCTAATGTCATCTGTCCATCTAAAGTAATGTGTTTATATCTTCATTCATCAGACATCTAATGTCATCTGTCCATCTACAGTAATGTGTTTATATCTTCACTCATCAGACATCTAATGTCATCT